TGGCGATGTACTGCATACCTGGCGGTCATGCCCGAGGTTGGTTCGTTTTTGGTCTCGTGAGTTTGGCCTCCTTTTCACTTTGTTTCATCTCTCCATACGCCGGGATGCTCGGTATGCTTTGCTTCATTGCCCCATACCGGGCCTCTTGGCTCGTCAGCAGCGATTGTCTTCCTATTTGTTTTTATCGGCCACTAGGACAATTGCCCAGGCCTGGAAGAGTCCGTTTGTACTTTTTCAGGGGGTGCGGGATCGTATGACTACTATGATGCTCAATGAACAGATGTCGAGTATATGCAATGACTCTCAACATAAATTTTTGAAAATATGGGAACCGTGGTTGCAATATGCCTTTCCCACGCTCCCCCCGGCCAGTGTAGGGAGGTGATGGAGTTTTGTATTGGCGCTCATGGACCCTTGCTCTCTGGTGTGTGTTTTTGTTTTTTCTCTTTCTTTCTTCTCTGCTTTTCTTCTTTCCTTTTCTGTTTGTTTTGATGTGACAGTGGACAGCTGTCTTTAGTTGCGATAATCTGAGTTTCACTGATGTTATTGTAACCTATGTGCCATTGATAGCCCCTACGTGGGCATATGTTTTGCCTTATTGGAATTAGAGCGTTGTCTGCTCTATTATACATTTTCTATCGGTGCAATTGATAGCCCCTGCGTGGGCGTGTTTTGTTGCCTCTGTTTTATACTGTTTAAAATTAATAAAAACCATTGAAATACAAAAGTGGCAATATATAAGGCATATAAAATCCAAAATCGGAGATCCCTTCTTCCTCAGAACTTTAATTGGTTAATGGACAAACTTCCATATATAGTTCCATCTGCCCACTTCTGATCTGGATCCCTGAGTGCAGAAGGTGTTGTTTTTGTTTTCACTGAACTTGACTGGCCTGCACAGAGTCCTGACTCAACCTGATAGAACACCTTTGGGATGAATTACAGCGGAGACTCTGAGCCAGGCCTTCTCGTCCGACATCAGTGCCTGATCTCACAAATCCGCTTCTGGAAGAATGGTCAAACATTCCCATAGACACACTCCTAAACCTTGTGGACAGCCTTCCCAGAAGAGTTGAAGCTGTTATAGCTACAAAGGGTGGGCCAACTCAATATTGAACCCTACAGACAAAGACTGGGATGCAATTAAAGTTCATGTGTGTGTGTAAAGGCAGGCGTCCCAATACTTTTGGCAATATAGTGTATACTTTCCTATCTATTTACAAAAGCTAGCAGCATAAGGATTAAAAATAGTTAATGTTGATTGAGAGAATAAAGTTCTGCTTTAACAAGAAGTAAATGAACTTTGAAGTGGTTATAAAGTCTAACCATTTTTTATCCTAATACAGTCTTTGCATTAAGGTAAAAAAAAAGTTTAGTCATCAGTATCCCCCCTCACCCCCCCTTTCACTTACCTGAGCCCTCATTTTATCCAGCACTCTGCACGTCTGCAGCTCTTCTCTCCCTTCAGTTCCTGCCCTTACAGGCTTTGCTAGTGCATTGGCTCCCACTGCTGTCAATCAAAGCCAGTGATGAGGGAGTGAGCCCGCACACGTTTTTTTTTCTTTTTCTTTTTTTTAGTCCCGTGGTGTAGTGAACACACCCACAAAACTAGCACCCAGTGCAAAAAAAAGTCAGCCCACAAGAGTGAAGCACACAAAAATGCACAGGGTGTACATGTAGCCCTCCTTCAAAGAGAAAGGGCTCTAGCCCTGGTCCCTCTGGGCACAAGGCTCCTGACAGGGACTGAGGCACTCACTAGGTCCACCCGGCCAAAACCAGATGGACCCCTTTCTTCAGGAGGCCTGCCAAAGCAAGCCTGCACAAGTGCCCCATATGAAGCAGCTCTCTAGGGGGGTACTGGACAGAGAGGAGGAGCCAGGAGCACCAGTGGGGGACCCAAGAAGGGGAGGTTTGGGGCCACTCTGTGCAATTCCATTGCACAGAGCAGGTAAATGTATGAACCTTTGTTTTCTTTTAGTCCTCCGAGAATGACAGCTCCTTCTCTGAGCTATAGAAAAATAAGCCGGTAATTACATTTAAAAACCGGCACTGGCATATAGTGACAGCCAGTGAGGGAGCCTCTCTGTATACACTGCTTCCTCACTGTTTACACTGCTCCTCTCCTGTCCCCTCCTTGCACACATGCCCCCCCCTACAAAGAGGACCTGTCACTTATATGCTATCACATAAGGGACTATTGGTCCCCTATGTGATAGCAATAAAATGATAAGTTAAAAAAAGAAATAAAAACATACATTAAAGTAGAAAAAAAAATTGGAGAATCCCCACATACGCTTACATTTCGGTTTTTGGCCATGTGCATTCTAAAATTTCCGCTATCAGTTTCGGCACCAGAATTTTCATTTTGGTGCACCACTAATCTGTACATATCAATCCAGAAAAGCCAACACATTCCAGTATGCCTCAATATGGCAATTTAATTAACTGACTATAGTTATTTGGCTATAGGCCGGGCAGGAGCTCTCTCATTCTAGGTGGACATTATATGACATCCTCCCCAGAATGTGCCTCGTGTGGGCCCCTCATAGTGATCACATGGTACAGACTGGGCCAATCACAACCCATCTGTACCATGTGATTAGCTGTGGTGAATCACAGCTAATTCAAATAAAACACACTGAGTGGATTTCATTCAGTAAAAATGATTGTTTAGAACAGTGGAATTCATTGTTATAAGCAATCATAACGTGATGTTTACATACTGTCATCAGTCAGTGTCTTTGATCACCGCCACACCAGTTATGTGATGACTTGGTGGAGGGGACATAATGGTGTGGGGTTGGTTTTCAGGGGTTGGGCTTGACCCTTTAGTTGTGAAGGGAACTCTTAAGGCATCAGCATACCAAAACTGAAAAACAACCCCACACCATTAACCCCCCTACACCAAACTTTACACTTGGCACAATGCAGTCAGGCAAGTACCATTCTTCTGGCAACCGCCAAACCCAGACACGTCCATCGGATTGCCAGACAGAGAAGCGTGATTTGTCACTCCAGAGAATAGGTCTCCACTGCTCTAGAGTTCAGTGGCGGTGTGCTTTACGCCACTGTATCCAATGCTTTGCATTGCACTTGGTGATGTGAGGTTTGGTTGCAGCTGCTTGGCCATGAAAATCCATTCCATGAAGCTCTCTACGCACTGTTGTGCTAATCTGAAGGCCGCACGAAATTTGAATGTCTTTAGCTATTGACTCTGCATGCAGTTGGCAACTTCTGTGCACTGTGCGCTTCAGCATGAGCTGACCCCGCTCTGCCATTTTATGTATCCTAACACTTTGTGGCTGGGTTGCTATTGTTCCCAGTTGCTTCCACTTTGTCATATTACCACTAACCGTTGACCGTGGAATATTTAGTAGCAAGGAAATTCCACGGATGGACTTATTGCACAGGTGGCCACCTATCACGGTACTACGCTTGAATTCACTAAGCTAAGAGCGACTCATTCTTTCAAAACTGTTTGTAGAAGCAGTCTGCATGCCTAGATGCTTGATTTTATACACCTGTGTCTGTGGAAGTGATATGAACACCTGAATCCAATTATTGGAAGGGGTGTCTCTATCTCTATCTCTGTCTCTATCCTTTTTAATCAGAGTATAGCATCAAGTCAATTAAACTAATGGGATATTGATCTGCTCAGTTAAGTAGCAGAGAGGGTTGTTAATCAGTTTCAGCTGCTTTGGTGTGAAATTAACAAGAGGTGCACTAGATGGGCAACAATGAGATGACCCCCAAAACAGGAACGGTTTTATAACTGGAGGTCACTGACGGTTTTTTCACTACTCATCTTTTCTGACTTTTTGTCACTAGTTTTGCATTTGGCTAGGGTCAGTGTCACTACTGGTAGCATGAGGCAATACCTGGACCCTACAGAGGTTGCACAGGCAGTCCAACTCCTCCAGGATGGCACATCAATACGTGCCATTGCCAGAAGGTTTGCTGTGTCTCCCAACACAGTCTCAAGAGCATGGCTGAGATTCCATGAGACAAGCAGTTACTCTAGGAGACTTGCACAAGGCCGTAGAAGGTCCTTAACCCACCAGCAGGACCGGTATTTGCTCCTTTGTGCATGGAGGATCAGGATGAGCACTGCCAGAGCCCTACAAAATGACCAATGGTGTGAATGTCTCTGACCAAACAATCAGAAACAGACTTCATGAGGATGGCGTGAGGGCCCGACGTCCTCTAGTGGGCCCTGTGCTCACTGCCTGGCACCATAGAGCTCGATTGGCATTTGCCATTGAACATCAGAATTGGCAGGTCTGCCACTGGCACCCTGTGCTTTTCACAGATGGGAACAGCTTCACCCTGAGTACATGTGACAGATGTGAAAGGGTCTGGAGAAGCCGTGGAGAACGTTATGCTGCCTTCAACATCGTTCAGCATGACCGTTTTGGTGGTGCGTCAGTGATGGTCTTGGGAGGCATATCCATGAAGGGACGCACAGACCTCTACAGGCTAGACAATGGCAGCCTGACTGCCATTAGGTATCGGGATGAAATCCTTGGACCCATTGTCAGACCCCATGCTGGTGCAGTGGGTCCTGGGTTCCTCCTGGTGCATGACAATGCCCCGCTTCATGTGGCGAATTCCTGGAGGATGAAGGAATTGATACCATTTATTGACCCTCAGGCTCGCCTGACCTAAAACAAATAGAAAACCTCTGGGATATCATGTTTTGGTCCATCCAACGCCGCCAGTTTGCACCTCAAACTGTCCAGGAGCTCAGTGATGCCCTGATCCAGATCATGGAGGAAATACCCCAGGGCACCATCCGTTGTCTCATTAGGAGCATGCTTCAACATTATCAGGCATCCATACAAACACGTGGGGACCATACAAACTACTGAGTACCATTTTGAGTAGCTGCAATGAAATTTCAGCAAAATGGACTATCCTGCTGGATATTTTTTTCACTTTGATTTTCTGGGTATCTTTGAATTTAGTCCTCTCTAGGTTGATCATTTTAATTTCCATCAAACGGTGGGGCATCCTTACGTTCCTAACACATTACCCAGTCCATATCAGTATAGATATCCAGCATGATATTTTCCCCCATGGATCTGATGTGTTTCCAACGTGTTCCTTTAATTTTTATGAGCAGTGTATGTGTGTGTGTATATATATATATATATATATATATATATATATATATACAGTTGCAAGAAAAAGTATGTGAACCCCTTGGGATTACGTGGAGTTTTGCATGAATTGGGCATAAAATGTGCTCTGAACGTCATCTAAGTCACAACAATAGAAGAACACAGTCTGCTGAACATAATACTACACAAACATTAGATGTTGCCATGGTTTAATTGCACATAACATGTAAACATTCACAGTGCAGGGAGGAAAAAGTATGTGAACCTTTGGAATTAATAACTGGTTGACCCTCCTTTGGCAGCAATAACCTCAACCAAACATTTCCTGTAGTTGCAGATCAGACCTGCACAACGATCTGGAGTCATTTTGGATGACTCCTCTTCACAAAACTGTTTCAGTGTAGCAATATTCTTGGGATGTCTGGTGTGAATCGCTCTCTTAAGGTCATGCCACAGCATTTCAATCGGGCTGAGGTCAGGACTCTGACTGGGCCACTCCAGAAGGCATATTCTGTGCTGTTGCAGCCATTGTTTTGTTGAATTACTTGTATGCTTTGGGTCATTGTCCTGTTGCATCACCCATCCTCTGCGGAGCTTCAGTTGGCGGACAGATGGTCGTACGTTTTCCTGAAAAATGTCTTGATAAACTCTGGAATTCATTTTCCCATCAATGACAACAATCTGTCCAGGCCCTGAGGCAGCAAAGCAGCCCCAAACCATGATGCTCCCTCCGCCATGTTTTACAGTGGGGATGAGGTTTTGATGTTGGTGTGCTGGGCCTTTTTTTCTCCACACATAGTGTTGTGTGTTCTTCCCAAACAACTCAATCTTGGTTTCATCTGTCCACAGTATATTCTGCCAGTAGTGCTGTGGAACATCCAGGTGCTCTTTTGCAAACTTCAAATGTGCTGCAATATTCTTTTTGGCCAGCAATGGCTTCCTCCGTGGTGTCCTCCCATGTACTCCATTCTTGTTTCATGTTTTCCTTATTGTAGATGTGTCAACAAAAATGTTAGCATGTGCCAGAGATTTCTGTAGGTCTTTAGCTGACACTCTGGGATTCTTCTTTATCTCATGCAGCATTCTGCGCTGGGCTCTTGCAGTCATTTTTACAGGACGACCACGCCTAGGGAGAGTAGCAACAGTGCTAAACTTTCTCCATTTGTAGACAGTCTGTCTTACCATGGACATATGAACATCAAGGCTTTTGGAGATACTTTTGTAACCCTTTCCAGCTTCATGAAAGTCAACAATTCTTGATCGTAGGTCTTCTGAGAGCTCTTTTCTGCGAGGCATGGTTCACATCAGACAGTGCTTCTTGAAACCAGTAAACCCAAAACAGGTGTGTGTTTTTTAAGGCAGGACAGCTGTCAGCAACACATCCAATATCATCACACTGATTGGAGTCAAGGTTGGCTCACTCCTGGCTCCAATTAGCTCTGGGAGAAGTCATTAAGCTAGGGCCTCACATACTTTTTCCTCCCTGCACTGTGAATTTTTACATGTTATGTGCAATTAAACCATGGCAACATCTAATGTTTGTGTAGTATTATGTTCAGCAGACTGTGTTCTTCTATTGTTGTGACTTAGATGACGTTCAGAGCACATTTTATGCCCAATTCATGCAAAACTCCACGTAATCCCAAGGGGTTCACATACTTTTTCTTGCAACTGTATATATATATATATATATATATATATGCAAGAGAGAGAGAAGGCTAAGGTCTCTGCATATATACTGTGTATCTACACACAAACACTCTATATATACACCACTGTTCAACTATAACTGTATAACCACTGACAGGCTAGGTGTATAACATTGATTGTCTCATTATATTGGCATCTGAAAGTCAGTGCCATATATAAAGCAGTAAATAAACATGTTGTCCATGAAGTTGATGCTTTGAAAGCAAAACATTTGTGTATGGGGCTACATAGACCGATCAGGGTGACCATGATTACTCGTATCCACAGCCAATAGCGCCTACAATGGGTATGCAAGCATCAGAACTGGACCACGGAGCAATAGAAGAAGGTGGCCTGGTCTGAAAATTCACATTTTCTTTTACATCATGTGGATGGCTGAGTGCATGTGCATTGCTTACCTTGACAAAAGATGGCACCAGGATGCAGTATGTGTAGAAGACAAGCAGGTGGAGGTAGTATCATGCTGTGGCCAATGTTCTGTTGGGGAACCTTGAACCCACCTACCTAAACATTTTTACTGATCAAATACACCCCTTCATGAAAATGGTATTCCCTGATGGCCTCTTTCAGCAGGAACCCTGTTAAACTGAAAATATTATTCAAGAATGGTTTGAGGAACACAATAAAATTGAGGTGTTGACCTGGCCTCCAAATTTTCCAGGTCTCAATGCAATTTACTCTTTTATTTCTTCATGGGGTGTACGGATCTGGTCAGTGAAACAAGATCCAGACCCCCCCTCCATGTACCTGCAGCAGCAGATCACTTCAAATTGATCTATTGCTGTAGTGAGAAGCTGGAGAAAGCTGCATCATCTCTGCCCAGTCCTCCATACTGACTGAAAGTGTGGTGACATGACTACTCTCCTGTTGTAAACATTACATGGAAGATTAATGCTTGCATACATGTCTACAGCATGCTCAGATGAAGTGATCTGTAGAAGCATCAGAAGCTCAAGAGCTGATCGTTGATCCTTTTATCTCCAGGCTTAATGCTGGGCTTTTGTGGTCTGCATTTTTATGCAACCCACCTCAACACAGCCTTGTGGTGTGAATAGGTCACCTACAAAACAATTGTTTTCTATGTGCCCTTACGCTAAGCCTGGATTGATCCATGCAGTTCAATGGAGATAGTGTGAACATGCCCTTAATGAGAGCCTTCCATTGTTCAAATTCCCTATTCTAGCCTTAACTTGTTACTTAATGAGCTAATAAAATTTACAATATAAACTCCCTTGACTCTTTTGTGGAATTCAGCTTCTTCATAATATCGACTAATCACTTTTTCTGTGTTGACCTTGCTCTTTGCTCTTTGCTGCAATGAATAGATCAATGTGTGCTTTGTCCTAGAGTTTATTCAGCTCTATTCAGATCTCTTTCTCTGATAAAATAAAAAGACCACAAAAGACTTAAGCTTTTCCGGCTGCTTTAGGCTCCATGCACGCTCGCTTATTTTTAATCTCCTAGCAGCTACCAATGAGCGTTTTTTTTCTGGCCCTATGTTATCATATGTGTCCATGTACACTATTGTAGGCTAGAAGCGTTTTTTCAAGCTTTGGCTTCTAAGAGTATAAAAAACTTTTTTTCTTTTTGCGTTTTTGGGAGAAATTTGCAGGCAAAAAAAACCTGCTGATTGCTCCTAAATGCTGTTAAGCGCTCCTAAACGCTGC